CCCTCCCCCAAAGTCTCGTTAAATAAAAATTAATTTTTACATTTTTTCTAATTATCGTTTCAACAAGTTTTCTCTTTTTACCTCCCATTGAATTAGGTTATTTATTTTCTATTCGGGCTATGGGTTTTATTAAACAAGTGAGAAACGCGAAACGGTAGCACGATTTTATTCGCCACAACAAATTGCCATAAAATACAAAATGATTTCTTCAATTATGATAGAGAGAAAGAGAGAGAGAGAGAGAGTATTATTCATTTACTCATTTTACTCACTGTTGTTGTTCTATTGCACAAACGTGCAATAATGTCTTTGACGCGTTCTACCGTTACACGGACAGTTAGATGCGAGCACGAAGAATCAGAAATTACAGTTAAGAAGAATCAAGATGATCGGTCTAGGTGAAGAGATTCTTCTCAGGTTAAGACCTAACCACTTAGGACAATACTATCAGAAATCTCTCACGTATTTCATCGTGGTAGATAAGCAATTATTTACTTTGATATTAAAAACATTTTCTTAAATTGTCTTTCGAGAACATTTAATAAAATCGTATAAAATTATTTTACGAGTTTAACAAATAGTCCATGAAAAAATTACAAGTTAGTAACTATAATAATTTATCTGAATTATATTGTTCATCGAACAAATGGAAATGAAATTGTAGGTTTAAGAAAAAGTAAATATAAGTACATTTAATTTGGATTATTTATGAAATTTGTAAACAATGTTATTTTGAACCAAAAGTATATAATAACTTTTGATTATATATAAATATTATATATATCACGTTAAATATTATAAAATATTATAAAATTTATATTTTATAATATTAATAATATATTTTATAATATTATATATATATATTATATAAATATTTAATTATATAACATAAAAAATATTTACAAAAAAAATTATATAAATATAATAATAATATTATATATAATATTACATTATATATAATTAAATTTATATATATTTAAAATTATATATAATTAAATAAAAATAAATTTATATTATATATATATATGTAATAATATAATAATAAATTTATATTTTATATATTTTATAATATGTATTAAATATTATATATAGATATTATATTATTTTAATTGATTATAAAAATAGATAACAATAGTATTATTTGTTATTCTATTAATTTAAGGGATTTATACAATTGAATTAGGTAATAATAAATATCTAATTTTTCGGAATTTTTGATAAAAAATATGAGAGTTGTATTACGCTAAAACCTGACTAACTTTTTTATCGTAAGTGTCGACATAATTTGATTGACCAACTAACGTAAAAAAAAAAAAAATAAAACTATTACTCGTTGAAATCTCGTAAATAAAAATACAATGTATATACTGAAATATTAAACCAAGAATGAAGAAAAACAATGTGTCTAATTTGACGTAATTTAATAGAAATGAGTATAATTCATTAAAAAAATATTCAGATTCCGGATCAAAGGTACGTCATCAATGTCCTAGCCTAGTGACCCACTTGATGGCTGACTAAACGTTCACCTGTTAACCGGTTGTCTATGGATTATGTTACTTTATTCTTCTAACAAAAACCTAAAACTACTTTCCTATTTGACAAGGAATGAAATCGACGTAAGGTTTATACTAATATACACAATCGTTGAGATGAAAATGCACCATGATTGCACTTTCGTTTGCTAAACGCTAAAATACAAGAACGACTTGTTTTCCAAACGAGATCTTATTAACTATCTTCTTTCATTTATCTTATACTTCAATTTTACCTTGGAATAGTAAAATATCTATTATAGTTCTTTTCTTGTTGTCATATGAAAAACATAAATGTAGATAAATTACTAGGTAATATTCTAATAGAGACATATCTAATGAGACAATCTTTGGAATAAAATACAATGCTTATAAAACTTACACCTGGTAGTTACAATTTTTTTTGTTTTCTTTTTTTCACATACTGAACATAAAAAAAAAAAAAAGGAAGAAAAGATTGAGCTAAATTAATAAAGGAAAAGGATATTAGTTCCGTTATAATACACGTATACGAGAAATCTTAAGTTTTGAAAAAGAAATGTGACAACAAGATTTTTCGATAAACAACGTAAAGAGAAAGTTTATTCGCTAAGTTGTTCCAATGAATTATAATAATTTATCTCTATTATTATAAGATATTATTATTGTTTTTTTTTTTCTTTTTTTTTCCTTTTTTTATTTTTTATTTGAAAATGACTTTAATCGATGCTTTCATATTTCTATCTACCATTTCTTTTTTCTTTATTTCTTTAATTAATTTCAATCGTTATTCAAATTATATATTTTGAGAAACAAAAAAAATCTATGCAATTATTTGTAGATCAAACTAAGGGAAGGTATAGTGTTATTAACGAACTATAATTTTCATTAAATCAAGTATCAATATATATATATATATATATATACTATCTTTCCCTTACTACTACATCAACAACAACAACACATACGCGTAACTCTCTATCGATGACGTTTATGGCAGTTTGTTCGCTTTCTTTCTTACTTACTTTTTCTCTTTCTTTTTTTTTTCTTTTTCTTTTTCTTTTTCTTCTTGTCCCCCTTCGTTTTATATTTTCCCTCTCTCTTTCTCTATTTCTTTTTTTTTCCTTCTTTCTCTTTCATATCTCTCATGCCAATGAATTGACTTTTGCCACCGATGAAAACCGATACTCTTGCACTTTCTAGTTCATCTGCATCGATGCATGAATCGTCCTTATGATACTTCTTTTATTTTCCCCATCGATGATTCCTTTCTCGATCGGAAAATTAAATATTACATTCAATGGTTGTACGATTGTATGTCAAGTATAAACAAGTACAGAATGAAAACCGAACTGATATTATTTATAGAAATAGAAAAATAAAAGTTAAATTTAATTTCTTTTCTTTTTCATGTATCTAACGTAAAACTACATTTATATATATTTTTTTTTTAATTATTATTTTAAAGAAAAATATTGTGTGTGTGTGTGTATTATATTTCATATAAATAAGAATATAAAAAAAATATAATAAAATATAAATAAAAATATATAAAATATTTTAGTTGTTTAATATATGTTTCCTCCTATAATAATTAATAATTCTTCCAAATAAAAATGTCGATAAAAAATACAAATCTTTCTATTAAAAAAAAAAAAAAAAGGTATCTATATTCCTGTTAAATATCATTTAATAGTTTTATTATTAATTCATTATTACGTTTGTATTTCATTTTGTTCAATGAGAATTATGACTTGCTAACGATCCTTAACGATTCTTCGTCCATTTATCAAAGATCAAATGTGAATGTATATATACATGTACCTACATACGTATATTTATATACAGGGCCGGATTTAAAAATGTGAAGACCCTCAAAGCAACGAATGAGTGGAAATTACCCTAATTATTTATAATTTCAAACGTGTGATAATTATTTTACATTAATTAATAGAATAAAAGTTTAATTATATTATTATCTTATTTTAAATTTCGCGTTTACTTTTATTTCATTGCAAAATTATATATTTTTATGAAATGATTTAAATAAAAAAAAAAAAAAAATTATGGGGTTTATTAATGTGGATATTTCCCATAAACTTTAAGATCCTGTTTCCCTCTCCTAAATCTGTTCCCGTTTATATACAAAGTTGAAAGGCAAAATAATTAGTAAAAATAAGTAGGAATAGAGAAAGAGAAAGAGAAATAAAAAGATAGAGAAAGAGAGAGAGAGAGAGATAGAGAGATAATAAGTTATTAATAAATTATTGATAGTCGAAAGAAAAAAATGAGCAGTGCGTTTTCTGTCAATATGTGGTAAGAAGTATCGAGATTCGATAGCACAGAATTCCAAATTTACAAAAGATCCCCAAAAACCTACCAACTAACCCAAAATAAAGTATATTATAATACTTTACAAAAATGTCTTTACAATATTTATATATATATATAACTACTATATTACAAATTTATCGATCAATGATAAATTAATTAATTACAAATCTAAAGTAAAGTTAATTCGAAAACTTATTAATAATTTCGTTTGAATGAAATTATATTAATTTCACTAGTATAAATTACTTAAAATTTATTTTATATTAATTAGGACAATTTTAATAAAAAGAATAATCCAAATGTTTTCGAATCAAGCTTTAAAAAAATGTATGTAAACATTTGTAAAAATGTACACTCTTGAGATATCATCGATAAATTATTTGTACTCACCAACGACGACAAAAAGAAACAAGGTAACAGCAATCTTCATTATCGTCGAATTATTACAAACCCAAAAATTGGTTGTTGAACTTGACAAAAATATTCTATCGAACTTCCGGACGATCCTTTTTTCGTCCTTCGATCGAAACGAAAGGATGTTACTCGCGCAAGGACGAAAAATCGGGTTCACGCTGGTACGATGGATGAAGACAAACTGAAACCTCGTGAATACGTTCTTTCAAAGGTAAGCACACGCGAGATACTTTCAGAGTACAACCGGTCGATCCAGGGCCGTAAGAAAAGAAAGTAGTCATCGTAGTAGACATCGTTCGTCATTGATCGCTTTAATAACGATCTATTACAAATTATATATCATTTCACAATCATTTCAAATTATATTTTTTAACAACAATAAAAATAATTATCTTCTACAATATATTTCTGTATTTTATATATATATATATATAATCATTCACAATCTCTCTTCAATATTATATATAGATGTATATTTTCCAATCGAAATCGAACGTTAATAAGAAATAATAATTTAAAAAAAAAACCCATTGATTTTTCATTATGTACAATTTGCTAACGTTTAACATTTATATTTACATTCGAAACATGATTTCAAATCAAAATCATCGAACATCTTTGACATTATATAAAATCTCGTTAGAAATTGCAACAAAACAAAAAAAAAATAGGCACAAGGTCGAATAATAATTAATGATCTTGATACGCATGTAATCTTTTAAACATTAAGAATATTTCAACCTTTCTTTCTCTCTCTCTTTTTTCTCTCAGTATGATCAAAAAATCTATTCCCATCTTCGGTACGTACATTGAAGCAGCTATACCATAAGTAAAAAAACTTGGCATGGTACCGGTGACCCACTCACACGTAACACGCGCGTTAACGGGACCCTCCTGCGTATGTTCCAAAAGAAAAAGAAAAACAAATTGCTGGTAGTGGACTCAGTGGACCAACCGGTCAAGTCCAATGATCTCTTTTATTTTTATCAAATTATTTAATTTATCAAACTCGATTTCTTCAATGTTCTCTTTCTTTTTTTTCTTTCATTACTATTTCGAAGTTTTTTTTTTCTAATTATTAATCAAATCAACATATAAATTTATATTAATGATGATCGTACATATTTATAAATATAAGTAGAACATCGATTGATGTACCATGTACCAAAAAATGAATATAAAAAAGAAAAAAACTAGTATGTTGTCCTATATACATACTAATGAAACGATGTCAATTATAATAATATCTAAACGCCTCTGAGGAGAAAGTAGAAATAGTTCGAAAAGTGAACTCGAATATTTTTACTCAATTATAATAGTATCTACAGTGCAACATAACTGATGTAACATTAAAATGTTGATACAAAGTACATACATATTATTTTTACGCGAAATGATAGAACTTTATCATATCTTGTTCACAAATAACCGGTTAATAGATACTTTAGGATAGTGAAACATAAAATATATCTTGAATTATTGCGAATCAGTTAAGATGATTGCAGACGATCTATCAATTGCAATTGAATATGTTTCAAACGATGAGTGCCGATAGATCATAGCCACTTTCATTTAATCCGGATGATTACTATGAGGATTCTGGAAGATGTCATTATGTACTTGACCATATGAAGGTCAACCGTATATAAGTAGGTCAAGGCTCGTCTACTGCATCATCTACGTGACTCTCTTTGTCGATCCGATCTAACAAATCCTTTCTCTATTTCCTCGATCATCGACCTTTCTATTGCTTCGTTAATGGTCTTAAGATTTATCTACACGATATATGCGTGTATGTTTACTTACTTAAGTAAATTATTCATATGAAACAGTGTATCTAATTGAAACATTACAAAATTAAGATATATTTCTATTTTTATTATAATATATATATATATATATATATATATATATATTAAAAGATGATTTAACTTTTTATAACTGATCTCGTCAAAAGCTAAAGATAAACTATGATTGCAAATAACATTAAGAAAAAAAGGAAAAACAAATGTTTAATTAAAAATAATTTGTTATACTCGCGTGCGGCAAATAATCTTTGAAATATTCAATCAAATATTGATCAAATGAAATCTCGTGTTTTATAGTTCAATATTTTTATTAAAACACTACGTTTAAAAATCTTTATTAGAATAAATGAACAATTATAATAGAAATCGTAGCATTTAGAAAATATTGTTTTTTTTTCTTTTTTTTTTTTTGTTTTCGTGCAGAAAATTGCAAAACTACATCTTTTCGTGTTAAGATTGAACACGTTCGCGGGCAGCCTAAATTTGTCCAGGATACTGATATGAACACTTTCTATTAAATTATAATTAATAATTATTTTTAAATGAAATATCGATATAGAACTTTTCGATGATACATTTAACATGTAAACACTGAAAACATGTTGTTAGGAATAAAATAATAATTCGGTATTTGCAGTGTTTTCTTGAAATTAAAAAGAAAAATATATAATATTTTACATGCAGTAACTGTCTGCGTACGTGCTGATGAGATTAAATGTAAAAAACGCAAGAGCTATGCTACGATCATTATCATATTTTGTCAATGTGACGTATAAATCTATAGATTTGTATTATCTATTTATAATATATCTCTCTATAAATAATTCTATCAACGACCACACTATCATTTTCATTTTATAATTCAAGAGAGTACAATGTATCATACGAATAATATGAATTATCAAGTAAAATATTTGTAGAATTGTAAAGCGTGTAAAATCGTTTTTTTTTTCCATGATACAATTTCTAAACACCTCGTTGATTCTCATTGAATATCTTACTTAAAAAAGAAGACATGCACTTATCTGATATTCCTCCATTTGAAAATAATGAAACAGAAATCTTGTGATAGCTCAGCATCATTTCCAATAAAATAAAAAATAAAAATGTAGTTTTGCTTGATTCTATCTTAAATATAATTCTAATGCTCCTATCATTTATTTATTTCTTCTTTCTTCTTACATTCTAAAATAAAATAGCAAAGTTAAGGTCAATACTTTGATAACATTTCAAATAATTATATTCAATTAAAATTAATATTACCTTAGTTGCAGTCGTAACATTTTGCTTCGTTGATTTATTATCTTCTTTAGAACAAGGCATATCAGTTTTAACTTTCTTTTCTAAACTAGGATTCACTTCTGTGGAATCTTTTATTATTTCAGATTCAGGCTTTTCAATCTCTTGAATGTTTTCTACACTAATATTCATTTCTTCTAATTTATCATCTAATTTTATTTCTAATTCAACATTAGATAAGTCTAATGGTTTGTCAATTACATCTTCTTCCGACAAATTAGTTGTTCTATCTTGTTCTATCGTAGTCTCTGTCTCTATTTCAGATAAAGCTACATCAGTGCATTTATTTTCTATATTATCGATTAATTTCTCAGTACTGTTTTCTTGGTTACTACTTTCTGTATCTTGCTGTTCTGTTTCAACAGCTTCTTTTTTAGATATCGATATTTGTACTGTACTTTCATTTACTGTATTTTCCGAACTAGATTTAATTTCTGTTGTACTGTTATCACACAGCATGTTACTTATCCGTTCTATTGATTCTTCATTTTCCATTTCTACAACTTCATTCTCATTTATATTTTCAGTACTAATAACGGAAGATGATTCTACTATACTTGATTGGGTCTGTGAACTATTTTCTTCTACCATTTCTACGTCAGAAGATATTTTTTCCTGTCCTTCTATTCTATTTTCTTGAGAAGAAGAATCCATATCCTCGGAGCAGGGTTCAGAAGAAAGTAAACAATTCTGTATCGTTGAGTTAGTCATTTCTTCATCTTCACTTATTTCATGTTTCTTTTCAGTCGTGGAATTTGTATTAGATTCCGTTTCTAATCTTTGTTCAATTGATACAACTACATTTGTTGGAGCAAGTTGTTCATTAATATTTTCTAATGATGTAGATTCCTTCTTCGAATGATCATCTTTTTCTTTAGATTTATTACTTTCCGATGATATAGATTCTTTCTTCGAATGATCTTTTTCTTTAGATTTGCTATTTTTGGGAGACTCGTCGTTTTTACTCGAATTGTTATTGGTCTTAGCATTTTTCTCATTCAATTGTGCAACCAAAGATTTTTTTTCTTGTTGAAATATTCTACACAAGTTTTGTAACAAAGCTAATTTTTCTTTTAATTTTTTCAATTCCAAATCTCTTGCTTGTTTTTGAGATGCCATATCGACAAAGACCGTGTTACTCTGCTCCCATCGTTGTTTCCATAAAGATGTTTCTTTCTCCAAGGTAAGTATTTTTTTAGACATCTGTATAAAATGAAATATTGAATATATAAAATATATTAAGGAGATAATGTTAAGTAGTTACTAACCCTTTCCATCTCTTCGTTAAATTCTCCACAAACTTTGTTACTTCTTTTAAGACAATTTTGAAACTCGTCATATTTATTGGTATACAAGTCAAGCTGAGTTTTCATAGCAGCTTCTGCTGCTTGTAATTCATCAATTCTTGTTCGATATTCATTTATTGTCTGAGAAATGAAAGATTCATATATGTAATAACTATTCAATTATATTAGAAAAATAATAAGAATAGACATTTATTACTTACAAGCAAAAGCTGTTGTTTTTCTCTTAAGAAAACTTCTTTCTCTACCGTAGCTTCTATTTTATACTCTTCCAACTTGTTACATGCTACATAAAGCTCATTCTTTGTACGCAAATGTTCTTGCATAAGTTGTTGCTCCTTAAATGCAACTTGATCGCACAAAGATTTAAATAATTTATTCATTTCTAAACTTTCTTCTTGCATCTTCTCATTTTTTTCATGAGTTAAATTCATTTGCTGATTAATATGAGCCAAAATACTTTTACAATTGTCAGAGAGTTCTTTTCTCTTCTCTTCTTCCTTTTTGAGTCTCGACAAACACTCCTCTTTAACAGTTTTATTCTGTTTTTGTAATTCACGACATAAATTCTCTAACCTTTTCCTAGTTAAAAGAGCTTTATTACGTTCGCTTTGAAACTGTTCTTTCTCTCTCAACAACAACACTACCTTCTTCTCCGATTGTTTTAAATTTAACAACAATCTTTTGTTATCGTCTACCATATCGGAGTACTTTTTAGACATAACATCCAACTTTTCTTTCAAAGTTTGTACATCGTTGACAGTTTCTAAAAGATGTACTCCAGTCTTTTTGACATTTTTCATTTTACTTTTTTCTTCCTTAGGACGTTTCCTTTCCTTTATACGATCAATCGGTTTAACCTAATATAAAAAAAAAAACAAAAATTCAAATTAAATGACGAATTTTGAAATTGACGTATATTAAACCAATTGACGGATATTTAATTATGCACATTAAACTGACTTTTTCAACATATATTTTGACATCGATGATCATACGTCGATTATCATTTAATTGAAATCGTTAATAGAAAAATAACGTTAAATGTATTGTTCATTTAACTGGCATTAAGCCGAAATATTGTTGTTTGTTACAGGATGAACACATTGAGGTTATGTGCATTATTCTAACCGATTCTTTTACCTCATTTTTATCCTCCGTCGTAGGATTCTCATCGTTCGAGTTTTTATCGCTGATATCGTCCATCATCGGAACATCTACGAGAGACAAAGCAAAGAGAACAAAAGATAGATGACAAATGGGGTATTACGTTATAAGTTACAACGTTATTTACTATTTACTTTCTCTTAACGATGAAAACAGTTAACGCAGAAGTGCGCGCGCGCATTTAAGAAAGAAAAAGACAAAATAAAAATAGAAAAAGATAAGAGAAAGATAGATGCAGTTTTTACACCCTACGTTACAGTATTTTTATTATCGTTGTACCCGTAAAAACGAAGGAATTCACAATGCAAGGACAAGAATGACCCTTTGACCAATGGAACAAAATATGGCGTTCTTGTTTTTACTTAACTTATACAAAACAAATACATTTACGTTATATTAATATGTATGTTAATAGTTAATTATGTCAAATTTTAATTGTAAAATTATTGCAATAAAATGTAGAAAGCGTTGAGTTAAATACATGTGATACCTAATATGGAACACTTAGGAAATTTGTAGAAAATTTTTTAAAAAACTTTTCATCAAAGATTTTCAACACAAGTTTTAACAATAGTATATGATTGTTTTTTTTTTTTATAACAAAAAACGTTTCGCAAGCTTACCTATAATTTATGTCATTTACTTGCCAAGATATTATAGTGTTCCATATTAGGTGTTGTTTCATATTAGGAACAGTTACCCTAAATATAAATACGCGTAGGTGTGTGTAATAAACAAGAACTCCAGCTGTTCGTTTGAAAAAAAGAAATAAAATAAATAATAATAAATAAATAAAAAAAAAGAGAGAAAAAAAACATCCACGATTAATTATTTTCGTGTCTTATTTATAATTATATCATGCACTTTGTCCTTTACTCGTTTTAACTTATACACATTCAATCGTTATGTAATATACCAGGATTAATTCGATTCGGGGTTCACGATGTATGTATGTGTTAAAAAGTAAATCTAATTTAAATTGATTCTTCTTTCGTTGGAAAAACAAGAAAAGGGGGGTAGGATTAAACGCACGATGTTTAAAAAAAAAAACGAGGAAACATTTGTTTAAAAGAAAATAAAAAGATAAAGTAGTCATTTTTATTCGTTCGATAATAAAGTTTATGATTACGTTCGGTTACTGTATATATATATATATGTGTGTGTTTGTGTGTTATGTATGTATAAATATATATATATAGGATATGTTTGAAAGTATACTTAATATACTCTCGTAATAGGAGAACGATGCGCTCGCGCAACAATGGCGAAGAAGATGAGGATGATACGATGGCAACACGGAACGACACTGCCAATGCGAGAAACAGAAGGTATCTCTCTCCCGAGAAGTCTCGCTTGTTATTTCGGGAATACGTTCTTACTCCAAAACGTATTCTAAACTTAGATTCTCGTAGAGGTGGCATACACGAACGTAGCCGAAGAACATTGTCCATCGTATTTGTACATTTAGAAGAAGAAGAAGAAGAAGAGTAGGGGAAACCACGATTCACATGATTATCTTTAATAATTTTAAAAACTTCTTAATAAAAATATGAAATATATTTACTATACGAATAAACAATTTCGAATGAATTTATTCAATATCTAAACATTATAAATATACAAGTGGATTCTATAAAGAATTAAAATTAAAAAAAAATTGATCTTCTTCCTCTTCTTTAGCTTATTTTTATAAATACGAATTTCCCGCGAATCTTGTTTCGCGCGCTATCTGTAGGATCTTTGACAAACTATCATCGAATCTACTTTATCAACCGAATTATTTTTATCGAAATTAACCCTTCCATTTAAAAAACTATCTTATCGATAGGAATTCTAAATTTGTTTGATAATTGTTTTTTCGATGGAAATCGATCCATCTCCTACCCCGTTTTATTCGATGAAAATTACTTATGAATACGTGATATTTTCAAGAAGATTCCAAACAAGAGCAGTAGATTAATAATTGATGTCAAATTGCATTGCTACGATTTTTATGATATTCTATAATAGCTACTGCAATTATTTTTTGTTATTGTTCAAACAATAATTACATTATTAATATCACGAGAGAAATCTTTCTCGTCTAAAAAATAACATCATTTAATTTCTTCTTCTTGTACATTTAAATAACGCTAGCCATTATATTGCACATCGATGTTATAAGTTTATAAGAGAGAAGATTCATGTTGGTAAGTATCATGCTCCAGTAAATAAATATAAGGTTTCTTCTCTTTGAAAGCATTTAATAAAGATGAAATGTTTAAGATGTTTTTACGTGTGAAGTCAAAGGGTGCACTTTGTTTAATGAAATACACAAAAATGGTAAGGGGTAATATAGCTTAAAGGATATTGTGAGATTTAGCAATTTGTTATACAGGATTGTACTTTGTCACGTAAACGTCGTATAAATGCAATCGTATATAATCTGATCAATCAGAGAATTACAATTATGCGAATGGTATTTCATAAGAAGAAATATTACGGAAAATATCTGCTTGTACCTTTAAATCTAAATTTGAAGTACACGTGTCTTCGAAGTTACTCGAATCGATTCGATTTTATAACATAGAAGTTGAACAAAAGAAAAATGGTCGTTCTAAAAATAAATCTGATCTTGGTAGAGGTTCAATCAAACATACAAATTCGCTAATTCCCGTTTCTCCTTCCCAACCCCCTACCAACCCACCCCCACCGTTAATCATTTATATCTGCAGGATACAATTTAAAAGAAACGATCGTTATGCAAGAATCACGGTAGAGAATGATTAGCATTGACTTTTTTCTTTCGTTGCAATCGTTTCTGGCATTGCTTATTGTATGATTATTAACTACCATGAACAAAAATAACCCCCAGATTGTCAAAGATATCCTAGTTTTATTATCTTTCCTTGACGTTCAATGTTCCAATTTCAATATTCTCTTTTCTAACACTTTACCACCATCGGGATGATAATTTTACTTCTAAGATAAACCTATCTATCTATTTGCAAAGGAGAAGAGAAAATAGAAATGCATACAGATTTCAAATGATTTGCATGCATGTTATGTATGTGTAAATCTATGTATATGTAAACGAATAAATAAGTAGTACGTATGTATGTTTATACGTGTATTTAAGTATACACCAAATATGTCATCTTTGGAATGTCATACCTTTCCTTTCGTTCGAGCTTATGATAATTATTAGATGCAGTCCGGATGTGTGAATGCCGATAAAATTTTCATAGCGATTTAATACGAATGATCTTATTTGCGTTGAAAATTTCTATCATTATTCTCTCCTAAATGTTTTCTTTTCTTTTTCTTTTGTTCAAGTCTTAATCATAGAGGGGATCGTGCCAAAATCTTACTTCGAAGTTGATCTTAACGTCCTTTTATCAATACACGTGTGGTGATTTTATTACTCGTACGTTAGAAATTAGAAAATACGACGTGTCTAACGCGTTGAATTGCATTCGTAACATACATTTCTCTCTCGTCAAATTGAAATTTGATTTCTTGTCTATTACAAACGAATCGAATAGAAAATTAAAAGCAAAAGATTAATAATTGCGTCATTGGATCAGGCTCTAAATTTAAACATCGTTGTATGTTACGTTAATTGACGATTCACAGGAAAAAGAAGAAAGAAATTGAAATTGAAATTGTCGTGTCCTGCATCCTTGAAAATCAACTTCTCAGTTCTCTTGTTCGGTTAATATAAGAGAGACATTATCGTTATCGCATTTGAAATTCTTCTACGACGCGACACGTGGAAGTAGCCACCATGTTGAGAGAATGATCGACGTAGAATGTATTATTTATAAGTAGCATTTACACAAACACACACACATACATACATACATACAGATCTAACGTCGAATTAGTGTTGATCGTGCGAACTTTTCTATGATAAATATCGAAAAAAAAAAACAATCATAGATAAAATTGATAAAATAAACAAATAATATATATTGTTAATTAAATTTTAATTTTACAATGAGTTAAACACAGAGACGAAGTATTTATTTTTTTGTTTAGAAAAGAAGAAAAAGCAACAACAAAAAAAGTAATGAATCGAAAGGTCAGTTCAAGAAAGATCACGAAAGAGTAATTAACAAATGGAATACGAAGTAAACAAATTTTTGCTCGTAAATCAAGAACTTCTTTTTCTTCTCTCTCTCTCTCTCTTCTCTCTCTTTTTTTCTTTCTTGCTAGACATGAAGATTTCAAAGAGGAGTATTTTATTCATCTCGTGTTTCTTGTTCGAGAAAGCTTCGCAAAGTAAAGCCCGCGCAATGGTTGCGCAGTTTGTTAGAAAAGGAAAGAAGAAGAAAAAGAAAAGGAAAAGGAAAAGAAGAGAATAAAAAAAAAGTCCTAACGCCTGCGCAGGAATGAATTTTCGTAAGAACGGCGCGCACACCACGCGAAGAAAAGATAAAACGTGTGCTTTCGATCAGTGAAGCGCCGGCAAAGCCGGAGGAAGGATGTTACTTTGTCCTTAATTCTATTATTTTCATTCGTTCCGAAGTTCTCCTCGTATAATAATAGTACGAAAGAAAAAAAAAATAATTGCAAGATAAAAAAAACAATTAAAAAGAAATCCATCAAAGTTCGTAGATTCTCTCATCGATGATCGTTCGAATTGCGTTAATATTTCATGGTTTCTTTTTTTTTCAATTTTTATCAATTGAAAAGAATACTTTTGAATGAAATATTGACAGATCGATAGAACGGGGAGAATAAACGTAGTTGATTCGTGTTACGTTGTTTTTTCTTTTTTTTTTTTTCTTATTCGTGCTTCTTGTACCGAGGATAAAATTCGAGAAGAATAAAAATATTATTTTGTCGTTAGGAAGAAAGGATTTCGTTTTTCTTTCGGTTAATCAATTAATTCGAAGATTTGATCTTGTAGATCTTCGTGGAATTTCTCTTTTGATCTTAATTTAAGACAAATAAAAAAGAGATAGCCCCGTAGATTGAAAATTTCTTCGTTTATTTTGATATATATATTTCATCTTCGTACGTTTCTTATTAATATAATCGAAGTATTATGAGAATAATAATCGACAACGTTACGAAGTCATTTTAAAGAGAAATCAGGTTTTGAGAATAAACGAAAGGACTACATAAAAAGGGTTCCATAAAGGGTCCCAAATCGATGACCGGTGTTGTCACATCTCCGAAAAACGAGAACGAGCAAGCAAGTTAACAAGCAAGCTGCAAGTAAGCAAGCATACATCAGTAACACAACGACAAAAGTGGAGAATACGATAAGAGACAAAAAAAAAATTGATCATTTTTCTTTTAGCCTAAAATAGTTCGAACAGAACGATGCATTCGAGACTGACGTTTGTGTGAATTCAACTAGAAAACAAAATTTTCTTTTGAGTTTGATGATAATGAAACAACCATGGCTCGAGTTATCTTTGAATTAAATAAAATAACGAAAAATCAAAAAGAAGATTGAGAAGGAAAGACCAACAATCTATAACTACGATAATAAAATTTTGGTTATTTGGGTTTTACCGAAAGTGACAGATAAAACAAAGATCGTTTGGTTGATAAAAAAATAAAAATAAAACTAAAACATGAAGATGGTAGATGAAATAAAACCGAGTTTCCATACGGAAACTTGGCAAAATGATAATTCTACTATGTCTATCATTGATCTAGCCAGTACCATGATGACTACGAATATTATTAATCTTCCTACAATACCTAAAAGACACGTGACATTTATTTCCCAAGCAGTTTTAACTTTGGTATACATTACCGGTGTTATTGGTAATATTTCAGCACTGGTCATTCTCTTCCATCGCGATAAGGTAAAGAAAATAAGGGAAAAGAATACCCAAAAAAAAAAAAAAAACTAGAATTCCCACTAATAAGCCCACTTATCTCTCATCTTATATCTCATCTTAACGTTTATTGATTCTTACTTTTCTTTTTACCTTTGTTTAGAGAAGAAACCGTAAACACCTGCTGATGTTACGTTGCTTGGCAAGTAACGATCTCGTCGCGTTATTAGGTATGTTGGTACAAATGTATATCAGCATTTACGTGGCCGGTGTTACATCGAGCAGAGCATTTTGTTCTCTCAGAGTTGTTTGGAGACTTTTTGGATTGTTCAGTGGTTGCGTAGCTATCGTTATGGCTGCTGAAAGATGGCTAGCTTTAACCAGACCTTTCGTTTATCAAAAGGTAAGCAGATTAAAGATTCCTAAATAATAATAATAATAATAATAATAATAATAATAATAATAATAATAATAATAATAANATTCCTAAATAATAATAATAATAATAATAATAATAATAATAATAATAATAATAATAATAATAATAATAATAATAATAATAATAATAATGTATCTTCGTTTCATTTGATTAATTATACTAATGATTCATTTCTTTTTTTTTTATTAACATCTTCCTTTGATAATTCTATTTTAATCATTCGTGCGTAATGTTTACAAGTGAAACAATAAATATATAAATGATGATGATAATGGTGATGATCATAATACGCACCAACGAGAATTTTAATTATCTATTTATTTTTTTTATATGGGAATTTTAATTCTTTATTAATGTAAATGAAATAATAATATGTTTTTATGTGTTACTTATAATCATGTTACTTTTATATATCTATTAGAGAAACAAAATTTGGTAAAATCTTATATTCATACATCTGAAACATATTTTTCTTTTCTTAGTATCGAATCGATGAATAAAATAAACTTGTACATTCTTATTTCTACGTATTACATATATGTATATATTCATAGAAGATTGGGTAGATGTTATACCGAGTTGACCCATTTCATGATACTCTTTAGATGATCTTACTAGTCCCAAATAAATGATATCAAACGATGTTCTTGAAATTATCTCTGTATCATGATATTGAGAGTTATTGAATTAATCGTTGAGTCAGGATTTTAATATAATTCGACATTAAAAATCTTTTGACGTTTGTATTAGTTAACTCGACAAATAAATACGATGTATTAAACGAGAAAAGAATACTAATTTTTGCTACTTATTTATACGTCCGGGTTTTTACTATTACCTTGGAATCGACAAATCCAATAATGTCAACTGATCAATCATTTTCTATCGCAAATTCCTACCTTTTTTCTTTCTTTCTTAAGACAAACAAGACTAACAAACCTTGTAGCAGGTTTGTTAACAAAATTCAGGCCTACACCTATTATACAATAAAATGTACAGATACAACAAAAATGATAAGTATTTATCGTCGATACGAAGTTCAAAGTTCATTGCTTAACTTACTAACTCACGTAATAATATTTGTAGAAAAAGATAAAGCAAAATACGCATGCTTTATTCTCGAAACATGGGGGGGAGGGTCGAGTTCTTTTCAGTTTCTTATTTTATTTCGCATCGTGAAATTTGATAACCGGACAATACGAGTAAAAGGCCATTGACCAGCACTAGTTTGGGTTTAATCATTACGAGCACAATATATATATATATATATATATATATGTGGGATTCCCCTTTTCCTGTTAGTCTTCCGAAAGAATATCTAATCAAAGAAACGAAGGAATTCCGCGGTGTTGTCAAAGGTTGACATAAAAGGAAAAACCTCTTTTCACGGATATGCAATATTTAATATAAAAAATAATAAGAATACAAAATAGTTGATAAAACGTCTTTTCTCTTTGGCCTCTAAACGATGACTAACTCTCACTCGCTTTTCTTTTATTTTCTTCTTTCGGCGACGCTCTTGCTAACGCTATTTGGCTGTTCATTTCGCATTTGTTCATTTTTGGTCCGATTGCACACGATTTAGCTCACTCATACTTACATGTCCTCACTCACACCCCTCAAACTCTCACGTTCTCACACTCTCACACCTCACAAATATAAGGTTGTTCGGAAAGTCATTTCGTTTTTTTTGTGTAAAAATGAGACAATTTTCGTATAATGAACAAATATTTTATTAAATAATATATTGGCCATTCTGGTCCAATACCTTTTGTCATCTTTCTGGTAGTAGCATGATTCCATGCTCATTAAAGTTTTGCTCTTTGCTGGCAAAAAACTGATCAAGGTGATTTTCGACTTCCTTTTTTATTGTTTAACCGTCTAAAAACTTTTTCTCTGACTGGAACAAATAATAATCCGAAGGTACGAGATTTGGAGAGTATAATGGGTGTGATAGTATATCCCATTCAAGCTGTAAAAGCTTTTGGCGAATGACCAAACTTGCATGAGGTGTCGCATTATTTTGCTGGAACACTACACCTTTTTTGTTGATTATTCTGGCCTTTTTTGTTGAATTGCATCATTCAGTTTGTTCATCTGATGATAGTAGACTTCCAAATTAATTGTTGTGCTATTGGATAAAAGCTCAAAAATAAGCCGGTTCATCTTTTTTGCTCTATGATATCTTGTTTGACATTGTTATATACAACACATTTTTCGTCTCCAGTAATAATGCGTTTCAAAAATGGATTATTTTTGTGACTTTTGAGAAGCGAATCACAGACGTCAACGCGACGACACAAATTTCTCTTCGTGAGAATATGGGGAATCCATATACCGAGCTTTGAGTTTAAACCCAGGCCTTTCAAGTGGTCATAAACAGTTGAATTTGATAAATTTAACCTCTCATCGATCTCACATGTTGTTATTTGCCGATTTGCATCAACTAATGCCTTTATCGTGTCTCTATCAGCTTCAACCGGCCTTCCAGAACGTGATGCATTTTCGACGTCAAAATTGGCGAATCGAAATTTTGCAAACCAGTTCTAGCACTGGCGTACTGTCAACACATCTTCTTCATACACATCGGTTAATTTCTTTCTGATTTTAACAGCATTTTTACCTTTTCTATAGTAAAAAAGTAAAATATGACGAAAATGCTGCTTATTGCTCTCCATATTAAAAAGAGTACCAACCAATAACTACTGCGTAGAATCAATTGGAATTTTTCACACACAAGCCTTGCTATATCAGCTCTCAAAACATATAATGATTATGCGGCTTAAGTGTGAAGTTGGGTTCGAAAAAATACAATTAAATCTTCTGTCGGGAAAAAACGAAATTACTTTCCGAACAACCCAATATATATTTCAATTTTTAACCCTCAAACGTTCCAAGACCGAATACAAATTAATATAGGTCACTAATTAGACTGTTCAAGTTTTTAACCTTATCGAATTTACTTTATTAAATTTTCTTTTTAAAAGTAAATTTTTACACGTTTTAATTCTATTAATTCATCATGTCTTTTCTTTCGTTAATATTAATTGATTATTTCGAGATTGAAATGAAAAATGACAAATAAATAATGATAGATTTTCTTTTTAAAATTTATACGATCCAAAAGTATTTTATTAGAGTTTCATATTTTCATAATAAGATTTCAACGGGATGATGAAGTAATAGAATTTATTAATCGACTTTGTTATTTAAATTGAAATCTAATAATCTTATTTTGTCAAAGAAACGTGCATAAATTAGTTCCGTTTTTTTTTTGTTAAAAGAAGAAAGAAATAAAAAATTGCTAAGATTGGATTATGTTTGTGTTCCTTTGGAATTAATGCTACCCATTGAACGTAGCTACTTCTCATCGTAAATCTTAACGAGTTGTTTTTTATTAAAGCCTACTACACATATGTTATCTAGCGTATATATGTATATATATATATATATATATTGCGTGGAACGTGTTATTATTTTTAGAACAAATTTGATTTTATTCAATTTTTACGTATACATTATTTACGTTATTCATAACATTGCATCAATGTGTTATTTTGAATATTAAATTAAAATTATATTCATTTTATATTTTAACAAAAAAAATATATATATATATGTATTAAAAAATTAATTTTATTATCTAATATAAATATTATATTATGGATATTTGTGTAGGTTTTTTGGTGTGTTTGGTGGTTTCTTTTTTATTAGGCCGCCTACACACAGTCTTTCTCTAAGTAAATCCGACACATATTGCTTTTGTAAATTGCAATCACGTGTGTATGTAACTTCAAATCTAGTTTAAATCTGCCTATCATGTTAAAATATCTATCTACGTTTTTCGCGATATAAAGATTATCTTTTTGAAGGCCTCTATCGAAGGAAAAAGCAATGTTTACGGATCAAGCCAGCTTTAATTTACGAGCAACGATGTTTACAAGTATTCAAAATTGTCTGAACGAGTGATTTGTTAAGTGAAAAAGTATTTTTCCGGAAGATCGACTATAACTAAATCTATAACTAAATCTTTTTTCCACTTTAACTTATTTGTTAATGAAGATACTATAGATTTTTTTTTTAACTCTTTTAAGTTTTTCAATTCAAATTTTAATTAAGTTCACAGTATTGACAATAATAAAAATGATTACATTGAAAGTATTTTAATTGCATTAAAAAATAAAATAAAATAAACAACGAGTTATTTATAAGTTATTATATAAGATAATAAGCTTTCATTGACTCATCCTGTAGACGACAATTTACGAGTGTTAATTTAGATCGATTAATATCATTGAGAAAGACTTAACCCCCGTAAAGTTTATTCCTTAATTTCTAAGAAAGCCAATCCTCCGATATAACGTTAGACAATAGCATGAGTCTTATACTAAGGGTTCATTGGGGTTGATGAAAGTCACGAACATCATCAATGCTCGATTCTTTCCTCGAATAAAATTTAACAAGAAGATTCGGACATTGACATTACTATATTTTGTTTTTTATTTATTTATACCGATATTGCTCAATACACATGTTGCATTCCTTAACATTTAATGTTAGTATTATTATCATTACTAATAGTAATAGTAGTAGTAGTAGTAGTAGTAGTAGTAGTAGTAGTAATAGTAGTAGTAGTATGTAAGTATCCTAATAGACGTTCTCGACCTAATCTCTATTTTGACGAACATATTTTTCCCAGACGCGGATGTTTACAAGGTCCTCGAATTATATATATCACATTCTATATATATATATATATATATATATACTACCAATCTGAAATAAGAATCTTAATCATTGAGAATCAATGAAAACAAGAAGTGGGAGAAAGAAAAATACTAGAGGAATAACTAACTAGTTAATAGAAATTTCAAATAAAGAAAACTACATATTAGCACACGTTATAGTTCTTTAGCAATAACGTCAAAACGTCTAAACAAATTTTCAAAGTTTTTCCCTCGAATGTAGTATATCAAATGTCAATGATGAAAAGTAATATAATGGATGTGTTAAAAAAATAGAAAAAAAAAAAGTAACTACAATATGTTTTTTCAGATAAATATTTACATTTATATGTTTCTTCATAATATATTTCAAACTCTACCATACTACTTAATAAATCTTAGCTTTTAATGGGTTTTCTTCGATCGATGTTTACTCGCAAAAAATACGAGAACAAAATGACAGGGATCAGCAGCTCGGTTGATGACTATATCTAATAACTTTTAGTATATATGTTTTTTTTTTTTACTTTAAGACGAACAACCTCTTTGACAAACACGCGAATGAGACGCTCCCGTCTTCTTAGAAGAAGAAGCTTTTAATTAATTAGATATTTCGTTCTGAGTTCCATCTACGTTTTTTTTTTTTATTTATTTATATTCCCTAAGGATCGTCTAAAGATCATTTTCAATGTCTCGTATCTATTCGAAGATCTAAAAATAATACTTTGAATTTTATTTGAAGAAAACTTGAGAGAATGATTAATTGGAAAATAATAATTGATGTGTGTGTTTGTATTTCTTTTTGTTTGTTATAAATCACTTTGCGAAACACATTCTAATTAAATTCTTTCATTTATCTTTCTTTTTCTTTGATTCGTTTATCAATCATGCACGTAACGATTAAGTGAGATAAGATTTAAAACAATGCGGGATGATACTCAAAGGAGCTATTATTTTTATGCATAGTCATTAACATAAAATATGCCATTCTCGTAGTTATTCGATGTCATTGTTCGCGATGTGGATACCAACGTATATATATACATATATAAATACATTTGAAGAAGCAATGCGGGAGTATTCCATTCGCGTACGTCAACAACAAAAATTCTTATTCTAAACTGTGAGTTTTAATTCCAACTACGAAAGAGAGATTAGTAATCGATTATACGCGAGATCAAGTGTTCGTGTGTTGATCTTTTGATAAATAGCAAATACATATTATATACTTGTGTGCACGTATCCATCTATCACTGTCTTCGAGTTTTATTAAAACTACAGAGGGTGGTAAACTAAAACGAAGGGTGAATAATATCTCGTTGATCAATTAAACTTCATTGAATACTTTGTTTCTCTACAAAAAAAAAATGTTTATACAGACAGTCGCCAGTTTAGGATTCGTAAAACACGTTAGCAGGTATTTCGAATGTTCCTTCAAAGTATTTCAAACGTATAAATCAAATGAATTAACAGTTGTTACGGTTTAATCGTTGGTTAATATTCGTATGGTCCTCACAATAATTTCGTTAAAGAGGTCAATGAACTATTTTGCTCAATCGATGACACGCATGTATCTTTCAGCAGGTGACGTATCCGGTAATTGTCCGTTGTATGCTGGCACTTTGGCTGGCTGCTCTGTCATTGACCAGCCTACCGGTATTGGGCTTCGGTCTTTATTACAAAGACTATCAATGTGTTAGATATAGAGAGGCTACCGAACCTACTGACATAGCTTATGCATACGTGTGGTTTGTTTTTGGTAAGTGCCAATGATCTCTTTTATGTTTATGTTCAATCAAAAATCATTAATTACATTTTTATCCTAAAATGATTTACCTATATTCATAAATATATTTTATCATTCATGTATTAAATTTTGTTAAAAGTATCAATAAAATAATTTGCTCAAGTATTAACATAAAGTACAATTGTTCATATTAAAAAAATTAGTTTAACTTTTAATTGAACATAGATGAATTGGCATGCAGTACAGATATAACTTTGTTTGAAAAATATACGATAAATGTTAAATATTTATTATTTTTAGGTACTCTTCTATGTCTGTCCATTGTCTGGTGTAATTTAGCAGTGTCCAGAGCATTGAATAGACTAAGTCGTCGAGTTGGAGCACTGAGACGTATCTCGAGGGCTTCTTCAAGGGCTAAACCATTGCTAACTATAACTGGACCCACACCAGAAGTCGTAACTACTGCTGAGGAAAGAGCTTTTGCTAAACTAATGGCAGTGCTTTCGATATCTTTCGTCGTTTGTTGGATGCCACAAATGGTAAGGGGATTTTTTGTTTTGTTTAAACAAAATAATTATGTACTTGTTTTTTTTTCCCCTTCCGTTATATACTATTTCTATCGATACAATTTTATTTTCCTCACTCTTTCGTGAAAAAAAAAAATAAAGCAAAACGAGATTTTGTTTGTTTGTTTTTTTCCTTTTCCGGATTCTCTCTTCTTCGATTACTTTCATTCGGTCAAGGTCGAGTGATTATATGACTCGATGCAATTTTGCTGCGAGCGATAACCATAAGTCGTCACGTTAAATTACAACGTATAACCGTAAAATAGATCTTTGATTTATTTCTACGAAGGGTGAATTCTAAATTTGTCTTACCAAATATCTTTCTAAACGGTATTATTTTTTTATGGTAATGATGTTTCTTTCTTTTTTAACATTCTTACAAAAATAATAAAGTATTCTTGTTCAATTCTTTTTTTTGTTTTGTAAATTATTGCATATACGTAATATTTTATACCACTTAAAAAATGTTGTATCAATCTCTTATTTATCTTCGATATCTTTTATAAATTATTAAAAAAAAAAAAAAGGAAAGTTCCATGAGAAGTCGTAAATAGTTTTGGTTCGAGTTGTCCTTCATAGTTATACACTACTTCGTAGGGAGAAAATGATCGGACCGTTTTTAGCGAGGCTCACAACCCTGAAGGAGAAATAGCTTAGTGGAAAAAGAAACTTAGTAGCTTCCGGCTAGTCAGTCGCTTTTATGGGAAGCAATGGTTTTTACGTGACGTGCTTGCAAGGGATATTGAAGTTGACACTTAACTCCTACGCAGCCGAGAAACAAAAAAGAAAATATTTCTGACTAACTCGTTCGTAATAAAAAAACTGTCGAAGCATTTCAAGTTATTGTCTTTTAGTTTCGTTGTACCATATTGCTAATAAAAATTTGTTTATTTTCTTTTTTTACAAGGTTAGAAAAAAAAAGAAAAAAGTAATAAAAAAGAATAAATAAAACACAGGCAAAATTACATTGTTCGTTTTATTGTTATACATTATTTTATTCGATAATTTATTGTACAAATATTTGATCAATTACGAGAAAATTTCATTTAACAATAAATAATCTAATTTTCTATTTCCTTAACGTTTAATTTAATATTCAATAGGTCTACGTGTTTTCAAATGTTCTCACGTACGATCCATCGATACCAACGAAAGAAACTTCGTCTCGCGAAAAATAGACTTGCTGATCAAAACCGGATGTCATCGATAATAAAATTAAGCGCACGCGTGTCGACAAATGTTTCATCCAAATCGAACATACATTGTGTTCGTTTATTGAAAAAATATAACTACGTTGGTTTGGATAATAATCGATAACAAAACGAAATTGTTCTAATTCTTCGTTTTTTTTCCTATTTTCTCTTTTTTGTTCTCCCTCTTTTCATTCGAGTTATAAACTAAAACTAAATTAATTAATTATTTCAATTATGTTTGCATTTATAGTTTTCCATTCCGCTCGCACAATTCTCGATGGCATTGCCCGCAAAGATGGTGACATTGAAAAAATGCATTCGTATTTTTCACGTAGTCGCTGACATTTTATTGTGTATACATTTCACCTTGGATCCGTACATTTACGTACTCCTTAGAATGCCACGACCAAGATTCCGTTTATTGAAACCACTTTGTAGAATTTGTTGGCCAGCTAGAAGTCGATCTAATTCGTTTACAGGTGAGAAACTCATTTTTCTTTTAATTAGTTTTTTTTTTACAGTTAATTATCAATGGAGATGAACAATTAATTCATTAATCTTTAGGTACAGGTGATAATCATTTCAGCAGTGGTGACCCACCAACCCCAATAACCGAAGCACCCTCGACACCCGTCAGCGAGGAACACGAATCCGAATTGGCATCAGTGAACGTTTAAAAAAAAAAAACCAATTAGTATGAGTTAAATATCGACGATGTATTTTTTACGAAGTACCAAAGTTTTGTATATGTATAATTTATTTAACCCACTCGTATTTATAAATTTCCTAATTTTAATATTGAGACAAAAAGTCGAGGCATTCCGTATAAATTAGGGTGATTAATTGAAGGGATGAAAAGTATGCGAGCGAGATGGACAAAGTAATTTTTGTTAGTATAAACTTTTGGGTATTTTTTTTTTTTTTAATATACATATACATACCATTAACAATTATTGTCGAAAGTTTACGCGTTAAACGATTTTTCCTCGAGAACTCCTAATCATTTGTCAAATGCAAATGACAGCGCGAAGTTGTTGACGATTCGAATAATGGCGTAAATCTTTTCGTCAATCGTTACGATCAGAAACCGCCCTACATATACGAAAAAATTATTGATATTATTATCTCATTCTTTTTTTTTTTTTTTTATTCAATTTATTTATTCGATTAAACTAACGTTCGACGAATTTTTATAAAGTACGTTACGTTGAATAAAAAGGTCAAACAAAATTCGATACACGTTTTCAAAGCACAGTTACACGATCCAAATTGTTTTACGTAATAAATTTACATATACATATACACATATGAACTTTATAACATCTGTATAAGTGTGCTTCTAGTCAGAGTAAGTGAACCGATGTAACTGTGCAAACAAATTGCAAATTAAACAATGATCAAGAATAAATAATAAACGAAATTTCATTTAAATTTCGTATACAGAAAAATATACCAAAGTTAATGATATTGATGCTTTTTTTTCATATATATATATAATGTATAACGTTATTATCAAAAAAGGAGATATTACTCGTGCCATTGAATGATATAACTGTGGTTCTAATAAGTGTATATGATAATATATGTGTATATGAATCCAATATTTACATGTAAAATAAGATTACACATTAGAAACAATATAATAGTTTCATCTATTATCATAATTGAATAAGTAGATTTGTCAATAATTTTACATATCGTTCGTGATCGTATTAAATCGATCATTTAATTTCATCTTATTATAATTTTTATACATATCTTTTTATAAATATATATATATATATATATATATATATATATTCTATGTATGTTCTTTTTACTGAATCGTATATTTATGATATAAGTAAAGTATATTCATGCATTTAGAATATTTTGACTAACCATTTACACAATTTTTAACGAGCATTTATATAAATTGTACATAACAATATTATTACATACATGGATTGATTGTAACCAATTGTGTTGCTTATTGATTGTGACGTACAATCGCAGGCGATGATTTGGAAAACCATAAAAAAATTATAAATTTTTCAAATATTCAAAATTTTCAACAACCAAAATAAAATCACATCCTTTTGATATGCCCGTCATACATATTTAAAAAATAAAAAAAGCTAGTAGATCTATTTTAGTCTTAAATCCTGAAACAAATATGTTAATAAATTAAACATTTAATTAACAAAGATATTTAAAATCTTTTGTAAACCTGTGTAAATATTCAATGTTATATTTATTATGAACTTTTAAATATATATATTTTATATTTAGCGTTTATATGTGTGCCTTGAGAAATGCATTTATATATATTCAAAAAAGGAGGAGGAGAATCAAAAAGGTTTGTTGTTAAGTTCAACGAAGATCACCTGTAACAAAAAGAAAACTATATTAATCATACAATCAACTTATGCAATAGTCTGACATATAAATCGTCCAACTTGCAAATGCACTTTTTAATTTAAATTACAATTTATTTTGATCAAATATCTATTTATTGTTGCAATTGTTTTACAAATTTCTTTGAAAAAGTTTCTCTTCTACATGATTATTTTCTCTAATGCAATGAGATAATGTTTACATTCTGCATTCTTTTTTTATTTTATTTATTATTTTTATATTGTTTACATGTAATGTGTGTAAAGTATTGTGTATAATGAAAATAGTGTAAAAATTATAGATTTATACTCTGAATTGCTGTTTATTTTGAATATTATTTGCGTTGCATAAATAGGCAACATTTGAAAAATAACCTAAACAACATTGGAAAAAAGTATTTTCATAGAGAATTATGTCTCAGTCAAAAGGTGAATCTCGAGGAAAAGGTACATAGATTATATGTAATGAGCTTTTAAATAAAAATAAGCAAACTCATTCTTTAATTAACAATTATTTTATTATTCCAATAAACTGTAATTACATTTCAAATTGTTTCTATGCATATACATTGATTTAAACATTTCATATGTTTTAACGTACATTAAATAGAAAATAATTTTGATATTTTATAAAAGTATGTTTCATTTTTCGATTACAAATTAAATTGTTACTTGTTACTTATAATTATTTTAAAAATAATGAAAAGAATAAAGAGAATATCTTATAGCATAAAAATTCATGTAGAATGATCTTCGTTTATTTATAAGTTACGTGTACATTTATTAGAAAAATAGAAATGATTTTTAATTTATTTAACACATCGGGGTGTAATCGTCTCGTTAAGATCAGGTAATTAAAATATATTTTGTAAGGTTTACACCTTCCTATTATAATATATAAAGAATATAAGGATCAATTTTGATTTTTTGAGTATATTTTGACAATTTTATGTTCCTATATCGTATTTTTAATCATTCAAAAATATTTCTTTATTATAGATGGAAAGAAGATATACTGCGCATCATTTTCGCGCATGCAGTATTTTCGCGCCAGTCTTACGCGCATGTTTTATACACATCAATATGGCGAATCTTTCGAATTTTTTAATCTGTCATCTGTATACTTGTTGTACCAGATTTTGTTATCCCGTTAATTTCAGGTAATTGTTTCAAATAATTTTCTAAATTATACCTTCCTATTATCAAATGATATATAATGTTATACACAATGAAATACTATATAATAAATGTTATATACCAAATACTACATACAAGATTTTTATACGTGAGTTTTTTCATATTTTACTTTTTTTTAGCTTTCTGAGCATGGGAGAGTTAAAATACGAATTCACTAACCTTTTTTACCTTGTGGCAAGTTTTTTTATCTTCTCCATATACGGCGAGGTGAGCATTATTTTGTTTAAGTATAAGCATATAAGCATATAGAAATACTGCAGAAAGAGTGAGAGAGAAGGAGTGAGAGGGAGATAGGAAGAATAAGAAAACAATACACTCGACATATAGGTTATTATAAATATGTATTTTTATTTCCAGGAATTTCTCGAGCCGTCGACAAAACGTAAACAGCCGATAACATAGGTATAATAGCCGAGCATTCGACACTCCCGAGATCTCCTCTACCAAGGTTACATACTAACGTACCTCGTATTCGTCTTCTATCCTTCAACGAGACAACATAAACGAAAATGAGATGTATTAAGTTATTTAATAATTTTATTTCTAACGTTATCGTTTTGATTTTAATAATTTAAAAAGTTTTTCACATTGCATAGAATAGTATAAAAACTGGTTTATTTTTTATGTTACTCTTTATTGAGTTTGCTGATACAATTACTGTTTTATTTAGACAACTTTAAAGATTTTTAATTAATATTTATACTAACATTACATACTTGATATGTAATATTGCAAGCAAATAGTTGCATACTTTGATCAATTTCACAAATATTTAATAACTTTAACAATTAATTATGTCAACTCTCATAGATTATTAAATTATTTCTTTCTATTTACCATTGAATATTTTTGATAAAATATTTTTAATGTGTGCCCTGCCTTCAGAATGATTTACAGGTTATATTGTAATATAATCTTTAGTATGTTTCAGCTTTTCAGACTTTTTATTTAATTTTATTTTATACATCGTCATCCTAAGGGTAGGATACCCATCCTGCAGTCATCAACGAAGACTAAAAGTAAGTATATTTTACTATCAAACATTTCTATAATAATTTCAATGGATTTTTATTGTAACAATGATATTAATTGTTCTTTTTCTTGTTATGTTTCAGAAAATCATTGCAATCGAGCGCGTAGGCAATGAGGTTATCGTGTGTTGCATCGTGTTAAAATAAAATACAAAAAAGTCGACAAGTAGATTCAGTGTTGATCGTCGTATATTAAAGATTCGTTTGCTCGGTTTAGAAACTCGCAAGTTTCTTTTATTCGGTTTAAACATGTGCTCATCGTCATCCGTAAGGGTAGGTGACCCATCGTGCATTCATCAATAAAGATTTAAAGTGAGTATATTTTTTTATTAAATAATTCTTTGAAAATTTTAATGATTTTCTGTAATAGTAATGATATTAATAGTATTATTTTTTATTTCAGTTTCAGATTGCAATCGTGCACGAATGGCCCATGTGAAGTGACCGGGAGTGAAATTTTTGTTCTTGCATTTGACTGCGAGCAATGCAATCTTTGAATGAGTGCAGTTTAGAATCAGTGATCGGGCGAGTAATAAATTAATATTAAACGCGAATTAGAGTCAGTGTTGTTCGTCGTATAATAAAATATCGGTTTCGCGATAAGAAACTCATCTATAGTTTCTTATTTTCGTTTAAATCGCGTTTTTAGATTCACGCGAGGTGCATCACCATGGTGCAATAGGGCTGCATCTTCTTGGAATGCACTGTAAGTATTCATTTGTATTTACATTTTATTTGATTTGATTTTAACTAGATTTCTGATAATATTCCAGATAACTTATTGTTTTGTCTATTTTATTTTACAGATATAACCATGAATTCTCTTCCTTTCAAAGATGTTGAATGAATTCTTCGATGGATCTTCTTCAATGGCAAATCGAGTATCGTCTTCCATCGTCAGACTACTATACTTGCTGCGAAGTAGGAGTGTTTTGGAGCCATCGCAGAACTTCTTAAA